CGACCCTTTAATACAGTTCCTCATGTTGTGGTGACCCCCAACCATAAAATTATTTTCGTTGCTACTTCATAACTGTAATGTTGCTACTGTTATGAATCGTAATGTAAATATCTGATATGCAGGATGGTCTTAGGGGACTCCTGTGAAAGGGTCGTTTGACCGCCAAAGGGGTCGAGACCCACAGGTTGAGAACCGCTGTCTTAAAGGGCTAGCTGGTAAGAGCTGGGATTTGAACCCAGGCAGCTGGACTCCAAAGCTTGTGCCCGTAAACTCTGTGAATTACTGACTGCTGATGTAACAAGTAATATCTATTTATTATCTCATAGTTCTGGAGGCAGAAGTCTGAAATCGAGAGGTTGGCAGAATGTAGGGGAGAATCCGTTCCCTGCTCTTTCCAAGTTCTGGAAGCTTCCTGCGTTTCTTGGCTAATGGCTCCTTCCTCTGTCTACAAAGCACATATTCCAGGCAGTTTCCATCATCACATCTCATTCTCTGACCCTCATCCTGCTGCTTCCTTATCAAGACCCTTGTGATGACATTGGGCCCACCTGAAGCATCCAGAATAGGCCCCCAATCTAAGACCCTTAACTTAATCATCTCTGCAAAGTGTCTTCTGTCATGAAATGTAACATATTCACAGGTTCTGGGATTAGGATGTGGACATCTTTGGGGAGCCATGACTGCCTACCCCAGAGTGCATGTGGATAAACATTGACTCTGTGTGGCATGTCCCTTCCTGCTTGAAACTCTTCCCTGATGCCTATGGGTCCCAGCACAAAGTCCCAGTGTGTCTGCCTGTCTTTAGGTTTCTGCCAGCTGCTCTTGCCCCCCCACACACACACACACACATACACACACTGGCCCATGCCAACCTTGCAGCAGGACTTGCAGGCTATTCTGGGCTTGTCCATCTTGCTCACCCAACTTCCTCACTCTGCAATGCCTTCCCACTTCCTTCTTTGTCTGGCTGGGCTATTTACTCAGCTGGGCCCCAGTTACACTTGATTCCGCCTGCAGGAAGCTTGGACCCCAGCAGGTTCCTACCCCTGTCCCATGCCTGTGGCCCCACTGAGGAATGTTTCTCAAAGCTTCAAAAGGGGTCCTGGGTGCTCTAGTTAAAGGGTGAGGTCGGAGGGTGAGAAGGACACAATGCATTTCTGGAGTCTGTCCACAGGTGTGTGCACAGGTGCGTCTCTAACCTGAGGTCACTCCCCTAGTTTCAGACAGTCCAGGAAAGGCTGTGTTGCTGGGCACTGCACTGAGCCAGACACTCATAGGTGATACTCAATGACCCCCATCTTACATGTGAGAAAACAGAGATTAAACCACTTATCTGGGGCCACATCGCAAAATAGGGGACGACTGAGGTGTGGTCCCTGACGTTTTGTTTATTGAGTCTCACAACAAGTCCTTAGCTGTGTGACCGTGGGCAAGTCACATAGCCTCTGTGCCTCAGAAGCTTTTTAATGAGTTAAGGTCCATGGAGAGCTACTATTACTTATAATAATGTTTTTATTAACTTCAGAGAGGAACTACTTTTTAAAAAAATATATGTTTTTATTGATTTCAGAGAGAGGAAGGAAGAAGGGGAGAGAGATAGAAACATCAATGATGAGAGAGAGCCCTAACCGGTTTGGCTCAGTGGGTAGAGCGTCTGCCTGCGGACTGAGGCGTCCCAGTTTCAATTCCGGTCAAGGGCATGTACCTTGGTTGCGGGCACATCCCCAGTGGGGGGTGTGCAGGAGGCAGCTGATCGATGTTTCTCTCTCATCGATGTTTCTAACTCTCTATCCCTCTCCCTTCCTCTCTGTAAAAAATCAATAAAATATATATATTTTTTTTTAAATGATGAGAGAGAATCCTTCTGCATGCCCCCTACTGGGGATTGAGCCTGCAACCCAGGCATGTGCCCTGATTAGAAATTGAACCATGACCTCCTGGTTCATGGGTTGTCACTCAACCACTGAGCCTCACCAGCCGGGCAGCTACTACTACTTATACTCTTGGCTTGAGCCACTTGCGGGTCTTTCAAACACCATTTTTCTTACCTCCAGCCTTTGCACATGCTGTTCCTCACCTGGGCCCACATCCTTCCCACCACTTCTCTATTCACTTTCCCTGACTTTCCAGGCTGGGTCATGGCCCTGTGATGAAACTGTGTGATAGCATGTCCCTCTCCCTGTCCCCCTCTCCAACTTCCTACTCCCAAGACTAAGAGCCCCTTGAGTGTTGGGACTTGGTGGGTCTTGGTCACTTCTCTGTCCTCCGCGCTTGGCATAGGGCCCACTCACAGTAGTTGCTCAATTCATATTACTTGCATGTGTAAAGCAATAAATACTACAACCACCTCCTCCAGTGAATACAGGTTTCTAAATTGTAAACACAACCCCTGTGTTAGACCTCAACCCCCAGAAAGACAAGAAACCAGGGGAGCAAAACAGATATGTCATTATTTTACAGCTGCAAGTTGGGCATGGTCCCGGGTCCCTGATGGGGACAGGGCTGCCCCATACTTGGGGGAAGAGGGAACTGTCCGTCTTCTTCTGAACGGGCTCTGGGAACATGGCTCCCAGGGAGTTAGGGGCCTGATGCGCACAGACCCCCTTTCTACAACCCCCCACACTCTGGGAGAGAAGCTGGAGTGACGAATGTGTATGAGCAGAGAAGGAGGGTGAAAAAGCACGGTCTGAGATGGGGGTGATCACAACAGCTCTGGGACATTGGCTGTTTTGTTGACTTTGGACAGGCCTTCCAGGAACCCAGAATCGGTCATTCAAAAAGCAACCACAAGGTGATCGGAGCTCATGGGTGCCAGGCCCCGTCCCCAGAGCTGTCCAAGTCCCACCCCACTCCACCCCGAAACTGCCAGGCAGTCCCAAGGGTTGTCAGGCCCCGCCACCCCATTCCACCAATCCTAGGCCTCGGCTCCACCCACCATAGCCCCACCAGTTCAGTTTGGGGGCTCACACTTGCAGAGGTTGTTGCCTGCCTGCAGCACTTGTAACCTGTGGTGAGTAAGGAGAAGGTGAGAGTGGAGTCCTCAAGCAAGAGCTGGGGGATGGGCTTGGGGCGGGGGCCCAAGCAGAAGTGTCAGGTACAGACCCCTGTCTCCTCCACCTCCACTGTCTGGCCCACCTTTCCACCCCTCCTCAGGCCTCTGTGCTCACCTGGTACAGCCACTGCCACTGGAAGGGCATGGCCACCCACAGCAGGATAGCGATGATCCTCGTGAAGCTGATGCAACAGACGATCTGTAAGGGACACTGTTGGGCACGGGGGCCCAGTGAGATCAGAAGGGATGCCTGGGGTGGGGCCCACAGATAGAAGGCAGAGGGCTGAGTGGTGGGGTTCAGAGGTACAGCGGAAAGAGGGGGTTAGGGAGGGAGAACCAAGGGGCTATTTGTCCTCCCCCTCAAAACCTCCTTCATGAGTGGGAACGAGGCTCCTACCATGACATAGTAATGTTGAAACAGCTTCAGCTTGGCCAGGTTCACTGCCATTGAGGGGTGGGCACAGAGAGTGGGGGTCAGGGGACGGAGGCTGGAGGCAAGAACACGGGGAGAGGGGTGGAGGGCTGGGGTTGGGGAGGACATGGGGCAGAAAGTCTAGAGGGGGATGTCCAGTGAGACAGTGAAGGGGACGGAGGAGCGGGAGAGGGCAGTCAGAGGGGAGGGAAGGGACCTATGGGGGTCAGCACGAAGGACCTGGAAGGGGATGGAGGCTGGGGACACAGCAGGTCCCAGGGAGCAGGGCCTCACCCTTCCTTGGTGCCAGATGTTGGATGGACCTGGAAAGGAGAGAGAGACACAAAGAACAGTCAGTGTTGCTTCCACCCATGTCCATGAGGGTGGGTCTGGGCCTGGGGGAGGGCAGGGGTAGAGTCCTCACCAGACCACAGGGAAAAGGATGGTATTGCAGCAGATAAGATCTACCAGAAAGAGAAGCCCATAGTCACTGACACCCTCCTCACAGGACTTGATGACAATGTGGGCCAGGTCAACCAGGACCTGTGGGGCAGGTATAGGGTGGGTGGGTATTTCTATGTGTGCAGGCGTGCCCACCCGGGGCCTCAGATGCACCTGGATCAGGATCCTGATCCCAAAGATCTCCTCCTTGTTGGACAAAATGCACTTGACAAAGGCCCAGCCAGAGCTGATCAAGGAAATGGTGAAGAGGAGGGCACCCTTCATCTTAGAGGCCAGGGAGAGGGAGCAGTGAGAGGGGCACTCAGCCCTCTCCTGCCCACTGCCCACCACCTTCCTGGCAGAGAAGGTCACTCATAGGTGTGCCATGTAGTGCATGACAGCAAGGCCTTTGATGTGGTGGTCCTGGTTGGGTTTGTTTTTGTTTTTTTTTTTTCAGAATTTGTGTTTAGATTTATTTTCCATAACTACGTTTTCCGGAGCTTTTGAAAATGGTGTCTTAGTTACAAAAATTATGTTTCTCATCATGTACATTCAGGAACACTTACTGTGCAGGACATGGCTCACCCAGCAATGACATTATTAATTACTAGAGGCCCGGTGCACAAATTTGTGTGTAGGGGGGTGGGCGCTGGACGTGATCAGCCTTCCTCCAGGTGGGTGGTGGGACGCCCTTGCCACCCTGGAATCTGGATCCATCCTCCACACTGGTTGTCAGGGGCCACCTGGCGGCTGCTTTTATATTATTTATTCCTTGCGGAGCATCTAGGGAAGGGAAGCAGTTGTGGTGCCCGAGGCTGACTTCCAGGAGGCTGGCAGCGCTGTCAGGATTGTGTCGGTGGCACTGGTCCATCAGTGTCTGGCCTGTTTTCTGGAGATCAGACCTGAATAGAGAGGAATTCTTTGTCTGCTAGATGGTTCCTGGTTCTCTCTTCCTCCTCTAGTTGTTTTAGCAGGACTTGTTTCTCGAACGTCTTCCATCTTAAACAATTCGGTTCTCGATCAAGTTGTTCACAAAGGAAAATTTCTTGGTTGTCGTGGTCCTGGTTGTTGATGAAGTAGTAGTTGATCTGGAGGCGGACAGATAGATGGACAGGCAGAGAGATGGGCAGTGATTACAAATGGGTGGATGGCGGTGGTTGAACATGGTCAACGTCTTCCATCTTAAACAATTCGGTTCTCGATCAAGTTGTTCACAAAGGAAAATTTCTTGGTTGTCGTGGTCCTGGTTGTTGATGAAGTAGTAGTTGATCTGGAGGCGGACAGATAGATGGACAGGCAGAGAGATGGGCAGTGATTACAAATGGGTGGATGGCGGTGGTTTAGGAACATGGTCAATTATTGTCAGATGGGTGGCTAGAAAGTTGACTGAATTGATGGTTACGATCAGGATGGTGGGTGGACTCAGAAATGGGCAGTCACAGCCACAACAATGGAGGAAAGATCATAGATGAGTGGAGAGTGAGAATCAGTCAGGTAGACAGTCACAGCTTTACAGAAGGACAGAGAGACAGATGAAGTGGATGGACAGCTGGCCACAATGATAAAATGGGTGGACACATGGAACTGCCAAGCCAGGGTCTGCAGAGATTTAGGAGTGGCCTATTCAGACTGCATCTTGGACCCAGGGACCCCAGCCTGCCCCCTGCTCCAGGCCCAAGTTTTCACACTGTGGAAAAGGAGCAAGATATTCCTGGTGAAAGCCAGGGCCACCATGAGCGAGTGGATCTTGAAGACATTGTACCTAACGGGGAGTCAAGGACAGAAAGTGGTATGGAGGCATCAGTCAGGGATAGGGATGGGAGGGAGTGGTGGCTAGAAGTGGGGACCCCCAAGGGCAAGGATATCATGTGATCTTGCAGTTATCATGTGATCATGCTAGCTCTGAACTTGCAGAACCATCACTGGGAATCTCCAGCTCTCCCATTCTCTAGCTGGCCAACTCCCCCTCAGTCTTCCTATCTTCCAAATGGGTACATCAGCTTTCATTTCATAACATGGCTACCCAGAGGATTTCAGGAAGCTGAACTCAGCATGGTGATCTGACCTGTAGTTAGGGCTCCATGAACCTGTTGCCCAACCATCCACTCAACATGATGTCGAATGGGCATTCCTGTCCCCGCATCAGATTGTAGCAGTTGTGGAAACTGAGACTATATTGGCCTTCCTTGGCCCTCAAGCCAATTACCATGTGGAACTGGGTGGTGGGGACAGGCAGAGAGAGGCAGCCTCAGCTTGGAGTGAGGGGTACCACAGGCACCCACACTCAACTTGGATATCACTTCCTCAGGGAGATCTTTGCTGGTCCTCTGGACCTAGCCCATCCCTTCCTCCCTCCCCTCCACCCCCTGCCCCCCAATTAAAATGTTGATGTAAAAAGAAATACATTTTTTAAAAATATGATTTTATTGGTTTTAGAGAGAGAGGAAGGGTGAGGAAGACAGAAATATCAATTTGAGAGAGAAACATGGATCAGCTGCCTCCCACATGCTGGGGATCGAATCCATAACCTAAGTATGTGCCCTGACGGGAATCCAACACACCTCCTTTCTGTGTACAGAACGATGCTCTAACCCAGTGGTCGGCAAACTCATTAGTCAACAGAGCCAAATATCAACAGTACAACGATTGAAATTTCTTTTGAGAGCCAAATTTTTTAAACTTAAACTATATAGGTAGGTACATTGTTATTAACTTAATTAGGGTACTCCTAAGGCTTAGGAAGAGCCACACTCAAGGGGCCAAAGAGCCGCATGTGGCTTGCGAGCTGCAGTTTGCCGACCACGGCTCTAACCAATTGAGCCACACTGGCCAGGGCAGGAAATAAAAATTTTTTTAAATCAATAAAATGTTGATGGTTTCCTGCCTTGGACTCAGGAATCCAGCACACTTGGATTTGCATGCAGGTTCTGTGACTCTGAGCTAAGCCACATACCTCCAAGCCTGAGTAAAATTGGCTTTACAGGATGCTTTTGCAGCATCCCTGAAAGGTGGCTACAAGGAAACAGATCTATGGAAATTGCTTTGCATGGTACCGAGTGGGTATTTAATAAATGCTGGCTATTCATTTTAACTGTGGGAACTGGGGCTGTCTTGTTCATTACTATGCCCTCCCCCCACCCCACCGCCCCCAGGTCAGTTGCTAACACATATTGCATGAGATACTAGTATTATTATTCCCGTTTTCCCAATGAGGAAACTGGGACTCAGAGAGATCAGGGGACTTACTTGCTGAAGATTATATGGGTGAGAGGCAGGACTAAGATGTGAATCCAGAACTGGGAGAGGTGGGCTTGGACACGTGTGCATTTCACACTCCTCCGGCAAACTCCTCAAAGCCTCTCACCAAAGGGATCTTCTCTTTCGTTTCCTGAAGGCCCAGCCACACGAGGCTCAGGTTCACCTCCAGAGAGCCCTTGGGATAGAAACCGAAGCTGTTCAGCTGGATGTCTGGTCGCTTCTCCCCCTACTGGACACCAAGGAGACAAAGGCAGTTCAGACTTCTTTCCAGTGGCCCAGCCCTAGGGTTCTGGCAGGAGGCTACCTCAAGGGCCTCGGGTGGCCCCCTTCTGGCACCCCATTATTTAGGACAGCTCCAAAGGGGTGGCAGAACAGGCCGCGAGGGCCTCCCTGGAGGTTGTGTCCCCAGACCAATCCTAGGCAGGGACAGAGTGGTTCCGGGTCCTCCCGCCACTGTTCTGAGCTTCCAGGAAGAAAGCCTGGGGCACCTGGCAGTACCCGCCACCCCCACTGGGTGAGTACCACCCTGAAAGCACAGTTATTTATTCTGGTGTCTGGCCCTCAACTCCCGGACAACTTTTAGATCCCAAACTGAGTCCCCAGGGTGCTGATTTCAACTGAGCCCCCGAGATCCCAATGAGTGCCCAGAGGACCCCGTTCTAGAGCGAATCTCCGGGGACTCCTGGATGGAGCCAAGCAATGAGATCCCAGGCATTTAGAGAGCTAAGAGTCTGGGGGTGCGGACAGATGAAGCCCTGCCCCTGATGGGCAGCACGACCCCAACGTGGCCCACCGGGCAACTCAATGCGGTGGACTGGGGGTGCTCCTCGGAGGACAAGTCTCTGGTCCTGGAAGCCGGGGTGGCTGGACCGCTCCATCCCGCGAAAGAAGCGGGGGAAATAGGAAGAGACCACTCCAAGCCAGAGGCTTCTCTGGGACAAAGCTGCGTCCCGCCCGCCCCCACGCCCGCCCGCGGTGTGACTCGACGTCAGCGCCAGCTGGTGGAAGCGCCTGGAACAGCAGCCCAACTGGAGCAGCAGAAGTAGCCTCGGGCCCCACTCCGCGGGCTTCCGCGGGCGAGCCCCTCCCCTCGCTCAGTGCCACCTCCGGAGCCACCACCTCCCCTGACACCGCCTCTGACGCTCCCAGGCCCGCCTCCCGATGAGCCAATCACTGCACGGTGGGGGCCGACCTTGCGGCTTTTCCAGCCCACCCAACCAATCAGTGACTCTCTCCTCACAAACCCGCCCCTCACGACACCTAATGGACAGCACTAGCTCCGAATGAAAGTGCTGATAACGCTTAACCCGCCTTTACTCTCACCAATCACTAGAAAAATAGTCCCGGAAATAATTTGATAAACAGTTCACCTAACCAATTGTAATAGATCTGATATCCGACCCTTAAAGCATTTCTCCACCCACTCTTAACTGATAGACTGGCCCAGGACTACAGTACCCAGAATGTAGAGGGAACAGACTGCGCAACAGGGCGTTTAGTGAACTACCTTTCCCAGGATTCCCGAGGACGGGCTTTCTCTTTCCTACCCTCGGGATGTGGCTCCCTGCGGGAGTTCAAGCTTTTGGTAAACAGGCGCATCTGCGGACACCGATCCTGTTCTAATCACTTTTGTCAACCCAGAAGCCTAAACTTAGCCCCAGGCTATATCTTGACCCTTCGATGACCTATGACCCCAGGTTGAGTCTCGGCTTTAGGTGAAGCCTCCTACCCTAAGAGTGAGGCAACTGGAGTCCTACCCCCAGATGGACCAAACCCCGATGCCAGGCTGAGTTAGTTCCCTTCCTGCATCTGAGCCCCGACCTCAGCCCGAAACCCAAATTCCCCACCCCTTCTGACCCTCGACCTACACTGAGTCTTCATCTGTGGTTGGGACCCTCACCTGGACTGAGACCTGACCCCAGATGAGGCCAGACCACAGGACCCTAGTTTGAGTATTAGATCCACCCCCCCTCCCACCTCCCGCAACTGGGTTGCTGACCCCTCTGCTAAGCTCTGACCCATCTGAGATCCCATCCCAACTTCAGTCCCAACCTGGCATAAATCTGAGCTTGAACCCAGAGTTGAGACCCTAATCCCAGGCTGAGCTATTGTGTCCGGACCCCAGCCTCCCCCACACTCTGGAGCACAGCCCACTTTGCAACTTGAGGATTTCTAGCTCAGAAGCCACCAGCAGGTGGGGCCAGGTCCCCACAGAGCCATCTCTCCTAGTGTGAGCTCCTGAAGCTAATTTCCAGGGCTCCCTGGTACGCGTAGTGGGCATCTGGGAGCCTAATCTGTCCCTTAGGCCAGAGCTCCCAGCCCCAGCAGAGCGCTCGTCACCTCTGTAGCTATAGAGAAAGCCTTAAAGGCGGGAGAGGATAAGGGTGGGACTGCTGGGATCGCTCCCCTTTCATCCCAGTGCCTCAGAGGGATTAACACAGTGTGAACAAACTTTTATGAGGGAGCCCAAAGACTTCCCAGCCCCAGGCCCCAGTGTGGAGGGATGGGCGGAGTTGGAATCCCAGTACAGACAATTAAACCTAATTGGGTCTTGATGGAAGCGACTGAAAAATGGGCAGGTGCAAGCCCTAACTGGACGGGAGCTGAGGAAAGGCCTGGGCCCGGCGCCCCAAGGACGGTCCGTCCTCAGTTTCCCGGTGCAGACTTTAGGGGAGGGAAGGCAGGATGCGGTGGGGGCGCTAATGGACCCGGCCTTGGCGAAACCGCGTCCTGGACAGGATCGAAGTCCTCCCATCCTTCCTGTGGCGGGAGGGACTCACTAGACCATTTGTGGGACGAGCAGAGACGTCTGGAGCCGCGCCGGCCCGCAAGAGCTGGGTGACCTCAGGTCCTCCCTGCGAAGGGTGGGGAGGGACCTCTTGGATGAGGT